GTAATCAGGGGCCTGGGTTTTTAAACTGTCTAGTCTGAAAAGAAGCAGGAGCTTCAGTAGAACCCCTAGTCCTGTAGGCGGCACACGCGGTCTGGAAGGCCTGCCTGTGTGGGACTTGAAGGCAGGTGCCAGGGCTGGTTCCCGAGGCGTCCTCGCCGAGAAGGAGTGAGGGGTCACCTGTGGATGGCCACGGCCGTCGCCATCCCTCCCCCCATCCCCATGCACAGTTTCTACTTTCCCTGCGACCCATTCGGAAGAGGATACTTACAATGTTCTTGAAAAAGTGGACTACAGGGTTTTCATCTTGGGGCCGGCCGTGCTGGGACTTCTGGGGCAGGGAGCCGTAGTGGGTGGCCCTGGCCGCGTGGTGTGCATCCTGAAAGACAGAGGCGCACACATCAGAGAGAGTCACAGGGTCCAGGGCCAAGAGGAGCTGGGCTCTGCTCCTGGGTGGACCCTGACTCTTTTCTTCTTTGTAAGAGGACCCTAAGTTAGGAGGCCACTGATTGCACAGCTGCCCCACAGCCCACTTAGGGTCGATGGACATGTCTCTGGCTGTGTCACTGCCACCTGCTCAGTGGATTTTGCATTAGTAATGCAGGTTCTGGCTCTCCTGGTGACGTGAATATGACAGAGGGGATGTCAAGGTTATTTAAGGGTAAGTCCCTCGAAGGTGGAGCAGCTAAGCAAAGCGTTAAGAAAAAAACGTCGTTTTCCCCCAAGCTTCTGGCTTGGGTGAAAGACAATACCCAGAAATTACACATGAAACAACCGATAATTGCATGAGACAAACCAGTACATTGGCTTTGGAGAGGGTACATAAAATAAAATAGCCCTGTTTCTCAGAGTAAGGGTCTCAGTGCAGTGGTCACGGGCCTGCGTGGTTTGGCGTGATCACTGCCAGCCCTTGGGTAAGTAGGGAGTCAGGAGGGAAGAGCTGCTGGGGGTGGATGACCTGGGCCAGCTCATAAGCAGTGGAGCCAGAACTTTCTAGGTCAGTAAATATTGCCATTGTTGTTAGCTGCCCTCAAGCCAGCCTCCAGCTCACAGCAACTGCATCCACAAGGGAAAGGCTGCCAAGTCCTGCCCATCCTCATAATCAGTTGTGTATTGAATCATTATGATCCATAGGATTTTCTTTGGCTGGTTTTCAGAAGCTGATCGCCAGGCCTTTCCTCCTAGTCTGTCTTAGTCTGGAAACTGCTGAAAC